CTGTCCTAGCGATTTGATAAAAAAATAATAATAGTAATGAGTTAGGTATAGTGGCATGCACCTAAAATTCTAGCTACTCAAGAAACTGAGGCAGGAGAATCCTAAGTTTGAGACCAGCCTTGGAAACATGGCAAGATATGAACTTGTTTTTTTAAAAAAGTTTTTTAAATAGTGGATTTAAAGAAAAAGATTTGAGGCTGATATTGTTTGATGCCCTCAGAAGTGGACTCGTCTCTAATGCTGGGGGAAGATGTTCTCTGTGAGTAAAAGTTCTCCGCTTCAAGATGCTCTAAGAAATCGGAAGGCTGTCTTAGAAGGAAGATAGTTTCTAGGGATTTAAACCACTATACATCCGTTTTTGGTTATAAAAAATGGTGCTCAGAACCCTGCATTACATTCTGATATAGTGACATGACATGTTCTTTCTAGTGAGCAGTATTTAGTAACACGTTTGCTTTGCTGTGTTCCTTCCTATTGTCCACCAGTTGCGGCACATAACCAAGAACGCCCTACGGCAGCAGTGACACCCATCCAGGTGCAGAACGCCGCCTGCCTCGGCCCCGCATCCGTGGGGCTGCCTCACCACTCGCTGGCCTCCCCTCAGCCTCTGCCGCCAGTGGCAGGCTCTGCTGCCCACGTCGCTGCTGTCAGTATCAGTCGAGCCAGTGCCGCCCTGGCCTGTGCGCCCGCTGCTTCTCTGACCTCCACGAGCATCGCCGCTGCCTCTCTGGAGAGCGAGCCCAGTGCTCGGATGGTGACCGGTCTCCCCACATCTCCCGACAGTGTGTCATCAGCCTGTGGGAGCAGTGCAGGAAGCAAACCAGACAAGGACAGTAAGGTAAGACCCACTTCCTGTTGCTCTGCTTAGGTAATGTCCTGCCGTCTCTAGCTGATGAATGGACTCATTGTTCCACAGTCGTTTGGGTGCAAGTCACCCCAGCAGGTGCTGGGAGTAGGGTGGAGAGAAAGCTCCTGCGGCACCATCCTCCTACCTAGATCCTCCTCCCCTGTGCTGTCACACCCGCCAGCTGCCAGGCTCTCTGGGAAGCGAGGCAGACCACGCTGAGTAAGACTTAGTCAGACCTCCTCCTGCAGCTCCCAGACTCAAGGAATTTCCCTTCCCCTTTTGTTACTTATTATGTTGTCCTCCATTTTTTCTTTTGGTCTTGGTAACAATTCTGCTTTTTAAAAATCAAATATATGAGGGCATTGAAACTGTTGATAAAAAATGTTATTTATGGGTTTATGTCTATCTGCAGTACAGCTAACCATAAGCACCATGTTTCCTTGAGAGATGCAACGTGAAATATAGGGGAAAATTATTTTCTAAGTCTATATAGCATTTTTGGAAATCTATTATTTGAAGCTGAATTTCAGAAACATGAATAAATAAAGTTTTGTTTGAAAGACTCAACTATAACTGGGTTTGGAGACATCCGATTGGAGGAAGGAGAAATAATGTTTAAATATTAACAGAGAAGAGAAGAAATAACATAGGGTCTGGATAGTTATGCCACAGTCATGAGTTTCTACTCAGAATTTCATGCGTTTCCTCTAAAGCTCTGGGCCAATGTTGAGGAGCTCTGGGTAATCATAAACTCTTAGCCACCTGGCTAGTGGTAATATATGTTGCCTTATTTAAATGGTTAGCTCAACCCATAAATAAGAGTTCATAAGGAAATAAACTTTATAGCCTACTAAAAAGTTAATATTTAGTTAACATTTAACAGAAGAGTTTTTGAAAAAGATTGGTATCTGTTGAGTGTTTATAATTAACTATATTAACCTTATGCTAAAGCTGAGATGTCCAGCTTTATTAATATCTTTAAAAATTATTAAATAAATATTAAGGCCTGGACCTAATGTGTTTCAGGGCTGAGGTCACTGATGCAAGCAGGGCTCTACAGCCACTGCCTCCCAGAGCTCCCAGTAGGGAATTCGCTGCTCTCTGAGGCTTGAAAAGTACCTGTGGCAGACAGAACAGTGGCTCTGCAAAGGTGGTCACCTTCTGGTCCCCGGAACTTCTGAATATATTTCCTTGGTGGCAAAAAGGACTTTGCATATGTGATTGAATTGAGTCCTGAGATGAGGACATTATGTTTAGCTGCATGGGCCCAGTACTGAGTAAAATAGCTCTTCCTGCAGGCCAGGCAGGAGGGCCAGGGTGCAGGAAGGACACCTGGTGGGGATGCAGAGGTAGGAGCTACGTGAGGGAGGGCGCAAGCCAAGGAGTGCAGGTGGCCTCTGGAAAGAACAGGGAAAGGGATTCTAAGGAGCACGACTCTGCCTACACCTCAATTTCAGGGCCTGATTTCAACCACAAAACTTGTGGTAGTATGTTACAGCAACATCTAGTATAGGACCTTCAGTGTCACCCCTTTAGTAGCCGTCTCTAACAAAGGACCACTGGGTTCTGCTCAGACATTCCAGTGACTGCAGGTGCCCTAGCACTGTGGCCCCTGGCCACTGTTAGACAGCTGTAACACACACTTGTTCTTCTTCCCCTGTGGCTCTTTTCGGGACAATGCTCATCTCTTTTCTGTCTGGACTGAGCAACTTTCAGATGTATCCCCTTCTGTAATCCTTTATCTGAGTACAGTATACTCTTGAAGTTGTTTTTGCCTACTCTATATGTCACAGATTTAAAGTTTTCCCTTGTTAAATTTACTACCATGTTTAATGTTCCAAGTCTAATAAATAAGACTTCTGCTTGATATTAATTCAGTAATTCCATGATTATCATCACTTCAGGAATAACAAATCCTCTTGACTGGAATGTCATTCAGTCTACATTTCTCTGTCATATCTATAAGGGTGTCAGGGAGAAACTTGTGAGACCCCCCACAGTGGTATCTACGTGCCTCACATTATCCGTCTGAGCAGCTGACCCATCATCCTTTGCCATTATGTATTGGTAATAAGCATCTTGGGGAGGGGTCTCCAGATTTCCTAAGTGCTCATACATTGGCCATTTAAGTTGTTTTGTTTTGTTTTAAAGGTATTTGGTACAGGGTCTTACTACACAGCATGGACTCATAGTGATCCTCCTATTTTCAGCCTCCCCAGCACTGGGATTACAGGTATGCGCCACCACACCTGGTCTAGGTGGCCCAGCTCGGTGTGCCAGGGGGCATGGCTGGCACAGCATGTGGTGTTGGGTATCAAGCCCCAGTCCCTGCCTTTGCCTAAGCAGGTGCTTAGTCCGCTGAGTTATCTCGCCAGCCCATACATCTGCCACTTAACACTGTGCTAGGAAGTCCCACATGGTGTGCAGAGGTCCTTGTCACCTTCCCTTTGAAAGATGGACCCATACGTACACATCTTTGCCCAGTAGTTGACCTTGATTCCAGATTCACCAGAACCTCTTGAAGATTGGTTGCATTTCAGTTGTTAATTTTCCCCCTGTATGCCGAGATGAACTCAATTTGTCAAGAGTATTCATTTGATCTCTAAATCTCATTCCCTTTACCCGTTGACCTTTCATGAAGGTTTGTTCCTTTTTGGTATGAAGATTATCCTTCCCTCTCCTCTCAGATACCTGCCCATCTGAGAGCCACTCCACGTCTTGCCCAGCAAGTCTGTGTCTTCTTCTTTTATTTCAACATCACTTTAAAATAGCCCTTTAAACTAATCTATCTTCCTTCCTTCCTTCCTTCCTTCCTTCCTTCCTTCCTTCCTTCCTTCCTTCCTTCCTTTCTTTCTTTCTTTCTTTCTTTCTTTCTTTCTTTCTTTCTTTCTTTCGGTCTTTAGTATGTTGGCAAGTTTAAGCTCATTCTGATCTTTAGTTTCTTGAATTGCTATGAACCACGTGGTATTCTTCATTACGGGCCCTTCTCGTGATCTTTTGTAATGCCCTTTAAAAATTTAGGCCCATTAAGCTGCTCCCTTGGGAATCATATGAGTGTTTTTGGACACAGCTATGTCTTCGTCTGCAGAAATGCTTTTCCGTTGTGCGGGTAGAACTTCATTGTTGAGAGCCTTCTTATGTCTCTTGAAATGTGGTGTGCATACGTTTTCTTTGAACTTTTAAAATCAGTCCTTTTAAACTTTAGGATTCAGCTCGATCCCCAGCCTTCTGGGTTCCTTTCGTGCTAGGTTTCCTGCCTCTCTAGCCAAATGCATCCAGCCCCGGCCTTGCCTCCTCCTCTCCCCAGCTGGCCAGAATTGGACCCAAAGTTGCACTTTGCTTATCTTTCTTCCAGTCAGCAGGTCACAAGGAAAATGTATTCAAGATTCCAGTTTTAACTGAGACTTCCTACAAATATCTAGGTATTTAATGATATGAAGTCCTCATGATTTCTGTCTTCCCTTGTCCATGTGTAGTCATCGTCTTGTACTTGAACCTACCAGACAGAGGTTTGCCCACCAAATGCAGCCTGCCTACTGCTGCCCCCTTCTTCTTGTCCCCAGATGCCCTGTAGTGGCTGCCACTCGCTTTCCCAGGAAGCAACCATTTGTCACAGGATTCTTTTTTTTTTTTTTTTTTTTTTTGTGGTACCAGAGATTGAACTCAGAACCTTGCGCTTGCCAGGCAAGTGCTTATTCTACTGAGCTATCTGCCCGGGCCCCCTGTCACAGGACTGTTGGAGCTCTTCTCTGAGCAGAGCTCCTCCTTTTGTACAGTATTTTACCTGGAGGTCCTATCTCGAAGGGTCCCAGGGATACTTGGCAGCTGCATTTCTGTCCAGGAGTGAAAGTGTCTAGTTCACTTGGGTGTCTGTACTCTGTAGTACCGGCATTTAGCTCTTCGCATTTTCAAACATCATCTCCATTATTTCTTGTTTGAAATCCTGGCCCTTCCTGTTGTTTTTAGTCTGCCTTCTTGAGGTCCTAGATTGCTTCCAAAATCATCTGTGTAACAGCTTCATCCAGACTTTTCTTTAAAACCGGACAAAAAGTTAACATTTAGTGCCTCAGATTCCCCACCCCTAAATTCCTAATGACTCTTTCCCTTAAGGGGCCAACCACAGCTTTCCTTCCGTCAGTCAGCTTGTCTTTGCAGACCCTTCCTGCTATTCTTGATCTTAGTAAGCAGAGTCCTCTCTGATTTTTAAATGTTCATTGTCTTCTATTCAGAGCCCTTTCTCTGACATCACTTTTCATTATTTTCTTTGCTCAAATGACTTTCCTTCCTCTCTTATTTTGCTGTCCACAATAGATCATCATAGGCTGCCATTTAAGCCTCTTAGGAGCAGCCCACCCTCCCTGGGGGGTGGCCCAGTCACTGCCCTGACCACGGTCCAGCCCAGTGTAGGCCATGCAGCTCTGCCCGCGGAGGTGCCCGAGTGCAGCCTCTGAGCTGGGTCGGTAGTTGGTATGTTTGCCATCACTGCACCATGGAGAAGTGTGGGCTTCAAGCTGCCACTCCTTGCCAACGTGGAGGCTTTAGGCAGGTGCAGAGACCTCGGGCAGTGAGAAGAAGAACTAGTTCCTGTCTCATTGGGTTGCTGTCAGGAATAAATATGGAAATCCTAAAAGCAGTAAAGATTCCTGGACTTGGTGGCATTTTCATCATCTGTAGGATCTCCTGTAACCCATCATTCCTCTGTCCCCCCTTGGAGAATCCTCCCAGGCCTCCCGTGTCTCGGACAGTGCCCCGGGCCATGTCTGTCCACTCCCCTGCTTTCTGCTTTGGCCAGAGCCTATTTTCTAGCCATGTTTGAGTCTCCACTAGAGTTTTTAGCTGCTCACTGTCTTATATGCTGTTATAGTTCCAGAACCAAGCACATTATCTGCTTCGTGTTAGACATTTTATAAATATTTGTTCAAAGTATGAGTGATTCTATGAAACAATCACATGAGTTCATTTTTTGAGATTCCTCACTTAAGAACACTGAGTAACTGTGAGTATCAGTTGGAGCCTGACTATATAGAACTGATGGTCTGTGGCCCAGGAAGACTTCTGCTAGCTTCTGCCTAAATACGAGAGCAGAAAGAAAAAGAAGTCTTAATGGATAAGATTATTGTCAGTCAGATTCTTTTTGCTGGGGAAAGAGCCTGGAGTTGATGTTTTGTATATTGTGTTCATTTCCTATTATATGAGTAATAGAAAGCAAATTAAATTCATGCTCAACAATTATTTTTATAAAAATGAACTCTGATGATTATTTTCTGACCCAGAGAATTCTTTTATTATATAATACTGTTTTAAATCATCAGACGTTCTGAAAAGAGAATTCTAATTCTAAGGACATCATTTCCTCTGGGAATAATTTCTTGGAAAACCTACAGGTGATAAGTTATGAAGATTTATGTCAAAAGAATGCCCCCCTTTTATGTGTGCTAACGCAACACTTAAAGTACCACTCTACTGAAGGGTCTGTAGTAATGCATCCACGGTTTTCATTTCTGATGTTGCCTTTTGAAAAAAGCAAAGGTGCCCTTAGATGATGTGTTGGCATTTGCAAAATGATCCCTCTCGAGTGGCACATTCTTCTGCTAGTAGAGAAAACACCAGAATGTGATATTAGCCGCACAGCTCCTTGAATAAGGACAGCGTCTCTCCTGTGTTGGCACCCCCGCCCGGTACCCTGCACCCTGCCACCGTACCTGATCGCCGCCTTCTGCTCTGTCGGTACTTGGCCTCAGTTGATGATGATAACGCATCCCTTAGAAGTCGTGGGAGCAAGCTGGATTTAATGTGTTTGATCATTTTCAATGAACAAAGTCATCTTTTTTCCTAATCATTTTAGAGGCTAATTCAGTTATCTGATATTCATCCAGTATTTAGCTTTTAAGCAACATCTTTAGCTGAGGCTTGCTGAATTGTAATTTATCAACGGACTAGATGTTCTCAGGAGACCCACGAGGGTCCGCAGATTAGAGTGGGCTTTCTGACATCATGGCAGGTGCTGCCCTAAAGTGTAAGCTGTCAAATATTATTCTCTCCTGGCTCATTTCTTAAGTCTTCCAACCTCAGACTCCTAGCTTTGGCAGTTATTTATTTACTGAGACCACTTCTTCAATCATTGGCTTTATTTCCTCTAGATTTGGGAAACCCAAAACGTCCTGTTTTGTCTTCTTAGCTCTAGCATTAACACTAGCTAGTTATTTGCTCATTTTTCCATTGACCTCATCTTCTTCTGTTCTTTCCCTGGCCTCTCAGCTTTAAAAGTGCCAGGCTCCATCCTGGGCACAGAGGTAGATGAGATAAAGTCACGGTGCACAAGCAGGTGCTCCAGGTTTGTGGGGTCATTTAGTGGAATGCATGTGGTAGCCCCTTAAACTGTGGCACCGAATGAGTGAAGCAAAAGCCAGTAAGATGAGCTGCTGCCAGCCCTTCAAGAGAACTGGAGAAGAGTCCCCTCGGCCCAGAAGGGGACGAGTGAGGGATCCACTGGCTCTGCTGGTCAAGCTGGTGCCAAGGTGCCCTTAGCCCTCACTGCCGAGCCTTCTGGCACCCCTCTTCCCCTGGGATGGCACATCCCTAGAGCAGCGTGAAGCAAGTGGGGACTGTGGTGCCACTTCCGGGGGTGCACCCTCATAGTCTGGTAATGGTTGCTTTTATCTTTCTTTCCTGCCATTCTGTCTCTAATGGGGCTTTGTTATCGTGGCTTCAGATTAATTTCCCCCCAGGGATTTTACTGAGTCTGAACTAAATCGTGTTCCCAAGAAAAACAGTCCTGTGTTTTATCTCCTGATAATTTATGTCTCTTTTAGTGGATCTTAATAATTCCAATTTGCTGTGGAATTTTCTAAAGAAGTCGTTCTTGATGAAATGCTCTATTTTCAAGCAGTTTCCATTCAGGGGACCTGGTATTATGGTAGACATCATAGGAGAGCAATTTAAGGTGGTGATTTTCAAATGATGATGTCAGACTTGGTGATCAGAATGAGCACTGGCAATTAGAGTGTGGGAAGTGAGGAATGCACAAGATGCCCTCCAGGGAATGAGGCTGCAGAGAAAAACTGGGTGGCATTCGCTTACAGAAAGAGACATAAAAGTATTAGTTTACTGATGCTTTCCTTGAACTTTGTGGCATTGTTTTGGAGTTTCTATTAAAGGATGTACTTATATAATATTTAATTGTTGGCTGGTTAAATTTAATCAAGCTGGTGGCATGCGAGAGGTAGGCTATTCTTGTAAGTGGTAAGACTCAGTGGCTGTGAAGTGCTGTTAGGCTCACCTTTGATTAGCACACAGCTCTCTCCTGGCAGCTAGAGACATGACAGCAGGATTTTAGGCAATTCAGTCCACACATTGAAATTTTCATTTTATTGTGAAATATCTACTTGAGCTTTTATCAAGCAGAAATGTAAAGTAGTGAACTGGTGAGTTTTTGTGTCCCATCCTTTTAAAAAAAAAATCTGCTCATCTGGGCGAGCGAGAGAGCTCAGCAGACTATGTGCCTGCTTAGGCAAGCGCAGGGATGGGATTCGATCCCTGGCCCCACCCCTGAGTGCGCTGAGCCTGTCACTGAGACCCAGTGTGGTGGTGCACGCCTGTAATCCCAGCGCTGGGAAAGCTGGAAACAGGAGGATCATTATGAGTCTGAGCTGCGTAGTGCGACCCTTTACCAAATAAATTAAAATTTCTTTTTTTAAAAAATCTGCTTATCTTAGTACTACAGCAGAAAAAAGCAATGAGCAGTGGCTTGTCCCAGTCTAGACGTGCGGGTGGAAAAGTGGGAGCAGCAAGCAGCCTTTTGGGTCCACACCAGGCCACAGTAGTAGCCCGACTGTGCATAACCGAACGTGACCAGAAATCATTTCTAAACTGTCGCGACCTATGGGTCACAACAGCAGTAATACTTGTCCACCTCCAACTAATGTGCTTATTTCTTTTCTTCTAGAAAGAAAGAAAAGGTTTGTTGAAATTGCTTTCTGGTGCCTCTACCAAACGGAAGCCCCGAGTGTCACCTCCAGCATCCCCCACCTCGGAAGTGGAGCTGGGGGGCAGCGAGCTGCCTCTGCAGGGCGCGGTGGGTCCCGAGCTGCCGCTAGGGGGCGCCCACGGCAGGGCCGGCTCCTGCCCCCTGGACGCGGAGGGCCCTGTCCCCGCGGCTGCAGGGGCCGCGCTGGCCCAGGAAGCTTTCCACAGGAAGACCAGCTCCCTGGACTCCGCGGTGCCCATCGCGCCCCCTCCTCGGCAGGCGTGCTCCTCGCTCGGTCCTGTCCTCAATGAGTCTCGGCCTGTGGTGTGCGAAAGGTGAGGTCAGCACGATTCCAGGAGAAAACTGGATCTCAAGGTGTATTTTTTGTTGTTGTTGTTGTTGTTGCTGTTGTTGTTTTTTTTTTTTTTTTTTTTTTTTTGTGGAACTGGGGATTGAACTCAGGCCCTTCTGCGGAAGCGCTTATTCTACTGAGCCATCTCCCTGGCCCCAGGAGAAAACTAGGAAAGGCGTAGCAGATCGTGGCTTCTGCTGTACGATGTGTTTCTGCTTCCTCCTGGGTTCTTCCTAGCCGAGTTGTACTAACAAGCAAGCGCCAACTGCCTTTAGTCAGTGCGCTCTATTTCCCTTCCAAGCCTTCCAGGTTAGAGCTCCACGCAGCCTTCTTTTCCTTTATTTTCTTTCTCCAAACACCGCAGAGCGCCGCCCAGATGAACTGTCGGTCACTGGCAACACGTTCTTATTTCCCGCTTTCTTATGTTCCATCTCAGCCTGCCGCCCTCCCCCAGGCCCATCCTTTGCTTTTGTCGCAAGCTTGCACCATTACTCACTGGTGATAAAGCACCTGGAGGCTTCTGCAGCCCAGGGAGATTGTTCTTCCTCCTCCTGCCTGGGAAGCATCGCTGAGTCCTCCGGCTCAGTTCTGACTCGGATCCTGATCCAGGGCTAGGCTCGGTGACACTCAGGATAATGAGCCCTGTGGCCGTGCTTCTGGCCTGGAATAATGACTACAGATGGGTGGAGTTCTGTGTGGTCCAGGAGTGATAGGAAAGGAAATGTGCTTTGTAAGCCCAGTGTCTGCTAGGATCCTAGAAAATGAAAATGAAGTACTACGCGTTGCTGCAGAAACTCCACGGAGTATACTAAAAACAGTGTACTGTACTGTATTGTTCCCACATAACAGTGATAGGTTCTGGCCCTCGTATGAATTGCTGAACTATTATGGTGGTCATCCAATATGGCTGAAGCCCTTAAAACAACAGCTTATCTTCCCAGAGACCACCTCCAACTCATTTCCTTTCACCTTTCCAGCCACCACAGGGAAGGCCCCAATCAGCTCCTCAGGTGTATCTAAACATCCCCCTTAGTGTTTTTTATTTTTTGGCAGAACCAGGGATTGAACTCAGGCCCTTGCGCTTGCCAGGGAAGCACTTATTCCACTGAGCCATCTCCCAGGCCCCCACCCCTGGCAAAAGGCCCTAAAATCCTCAGCCTCCCTTTGTTCCAATCCAGACAATTCGTTATCTTCCCAAATTTTCTCTGTGTCCTCCAAGATACTGAAGCCTCTTTCCCTTTGTTTTATTTATTTATTTATTTGCAGAACCAGGGTTTGAACTCATGCCCTTGTGCTTGCCAGGCAAGCACTTATTCTACTGAGCTAACTCCCCGGCCCGGCCCCCCCTTTCCCTTTATCCTTCTGCCTGTTTCTCTGCTGTGACACCATCGAAACTATCACACCGTCAAAGCTAGCAAACAGCACAAACATGTACCTCTGTTTCATTGTTTCTGAAAGCTTCCCTCCCTCTATATCTGTATTTCATAAATAAATTTCTATTTCACGGCATTTTCTGTATTGCAGATTTGAAATCTCACTACTGACCGTTACACTTTTAAATAACTTAAATTCATCTTACCTTTGAATTTCAGATAGAGATACTTGTATTCACCAAAATCTAAGACTTTCCCATGGTTTTGTGGCACTTTTCTTTTAACCTAAAAAATAAACTGTTAAAAAAAAAGAAAACAATGAACTTTAAACAGCATATGTGCATTAAGGATAAGTACACAATTTTTTTTTTGTTTTTACAGTGAGATAAAGCAATTTTCTGTAGTTCTGATCCTTATGAAACTAGTTCTGGAATGAGACATTACACTAAAAAGTGTTTCCTTCCTCCTAAAGGAACTGTTCTATCATTCTCTCATCTATTATGCTCTTTGGAAAGCTTTGAAACTGTGTCGTGATTCCACTTAATGTTTTATTCTCCGAGCCAGCCTTTTTCCCTGCAGCATTCTGTCGCTTTCCAGGGATAGCGCCTCTTGTCCCTGGAGCTAGTCCAGGGGCCTGTGTACTGTCTGTGGTCGGAAAGGCTCTCCCTCCCGCTCTGAGCATTGATCTGCAGTGCCACGCCCCCGCCCCCATGCCCGAGGGCTCTCGTCTCCTTTCCCTGTCATTTGTGGTATTTGTGTGACTGCTGCCGTAGACAGTTCACTCTGCCCAGATCTCCCTGGGCCCCGACTGGGGCCCCGCCCCGCCCTCCCCCATTACACATTCCTTTTCGGTGGCCAGATGTCCCCGGCTCTGTGGTTTGCATTCCAGCCCTTTCGTCTTAAGAGTGGCTGTTTCCAATAGCAGCCTCCTGCTGTTCAGCGTATCTGAAAAGAAGAAATCACCCAGGCAGACAGGTGATGGCGGTGCAGGGAGCAAGGGACGCAATTCACGTTGGAGATTTGGAGGATTTAATGAGGGGACAGATGGGCCCAGGCACTCTGCAATCCTCTGGTAGGGTTTTTATATAACAATTTCAATTTTTAGGAGTGGGAAGGGGGCCTTTGGAAAAGTTTTTACCCACGTTTATATTTTTATAATCCATGTGTTCAGTAGAATATTAAATACAATAGCCCAACCAAATCTGCACAGCCTTTTGCTTCATACAATGGGAGAATAATATTTACTTAACTTGGACTCTGAAGTCTGCCTGACTGGAACACAACAGGAAGCTAGTGCAGGAAAACATTCTACTATCCACTGGGAATGAAACTTGTGGCTAATAGGAAGCTACCAAGTGTATAATTTAGGGATTACCTGTTTGCATATTTAAAAAATTCCAACATAGTAAAAAGTACTGATTGCCTTAAATAAAGGAGGGAAAGATGAACTTTCACAGCAGGATGGTTCAGAAAGCTTTTGGAGATCTTGTGATTCCTTGATTTACAGTGTAGACATCAGCAACTCTTGCCTTGATAAAATGCAGGGTTCTTTTGGTAGCAGTGTTCCAGACAGAATTTCATAGTAATTTTTTCACTGGATAATATTGAGACAATATGGGATGAGATTTATCTGTAGACTGTAATGAGAACAAGCATAAAACCTCCTCTCAAATCTAAAGGTAAAAGAAGAAAAATGACTGAAAGGCAGTGACTGGGGCAGCAGGCTGTCAGAGGCAAGAGGCATTCACAGGATGTCAGATGTAAACAATCTCATAATAAGGAAGGATGAGCCCTGAAGTGTGTTGACAGGTCCCGGTGTCAGCTGAGAGAATTCTCTGAGGGACAAAAGGATTCCTTTGTGTTTGTTAGAGGGACTGGGAAAAAAAAAACAAACAAAAAACAAGCAAGAAATAGTACTGTATCCTGGGGGCAGAAAATGTATAATTGATGATAGCAGAAATAACAGAGCAAATATTTTAGGGTTTACTTTAGAGGGATTGAGAAAATAGGAAAGTGCAAAGAGAAATTTTAAAAATTTCAGGAAGGGTGGCAAATAAATGTATGTTTGCTTGTGTATGGAAAGAGCTTAGGGAGACATAGTAAATCACCTTATCTATGTGTACTTTTTAAATATAAGGATTAAACTGAGAAGTGCATACCTATATAAGTCCATCTCCCAAATTGGAAAAGAACTTCTGATCTTTTATCAGAATTAAGCTAGGACACTTGGAAACATACCAATTGGATAGAGATAGATTTAGAGAAAGGCAATAGGGCGTAACCAGCGTGATTAATTTCTTTGAGCCAGTGACAGTGAACCCCCTGAGTGAAGCCATGGGCATAATTTACGCGGGCTTTGAGCACGTGACGAAGCAGGCGAGAGTGGTTTTGCCAGTGAATACTTAGCTGGATACTGGATTGCTGTGGTAATGGACAGAAAGCCGGAACAGCTACACAGCCAGACCAGGGGGATGGGCAGAGTGCTCAGAGAGGCCTGTTTGGGCTGGGCCAGGGGAGGGTAAAGATGGAAAGCAGTGAGTTATACCTGAGAGGCCAAAAAAATAAAGGCAGTAGAAATGTACACTGGCGAAGGGTTGCCAGTACCCAACCAGTGCAGCTGAGCCAGGAGCAGCGGTAAAGGTCGCCAGAGTACTTCACACGCCAGGAGGACTTTGCTTCTCTCTTTCTGCCTGGGCAGTGGTTGCCAAACACTGAGTGAGCTCCCACGAAGTGGCGGGGCCGCTTAGGGGTGAATCTGAGCCACCATTCACACTCAGTGTCTTCTCCGTGATGCTTGGTGCAAAGGGCTCAGGGAGTGCTTTGCAGCAACTCCAGTGCCAGTCTGTCCATCCGTCCTTCCTTCCTTCCTTCCTTCCTTCCTTCCTTCCTTCCTTCCTTCCTTCCTTCCTTCTTTTCTTCCTCCTTCCCTTCCTTCTTCCCTTCCTCCCTCACTTCCTTCTTTCATTCTTCCCTTCCCCCCCCCAATATTTCCATTTCATTCATTCATTCACTCACTTATTTAAGTGTGGTAGATACAGATAAAACTCATCGTTTCAGCTGTGGCGAGCAGCAGAATTGAGTATATTCACTGCTTACCTCTAGAAAATTTTCATCCTCGTAACAGAAAGTCTGTACTGTCTAACCATAACTGTCCCTTTCTCCTGCTTGCTCCCCATGAGACCACCATCCTCCTTGCTGTCTCTGTGGGTCTCCATCCTGGGTCCCACAGTGCTTGTTTTTTTTGCGGGTTGCTTATTTTATTAAAGCTTAATGTCTCAGGTCTCTTCCATATTGTAACTTGTGTCAGAATTTCATCCTTCTTAGTGAACGTTTACCTTTAAAAAATGGCTTTACTATACAACTAAGCCCTTTCCTCTCATCATTTGGCATACTTCATAAGAATTACAGTGAATTTAGCATCATCTCACCCCTAAGCAGATTATGGTCTGGTAGAATGAGACCAGGTTACAGATGGTAATAATACAGTGTAGACTGTGCTAAGTGCCACGAGAAATACACATGAAGGCCTTTGGGATGTAGTCGGCCATGAACTTGCTTCCAGCTGTGGGGCTAGAGACCTCACAGGGGAGGATTGGAGCATGCTTCGGGAGATTGATAGGGTGTGGATGGGCAGAGATAGCGTCAGGTTCCCAGTGGAAGGAACCCCTACCTACCCCCAAGGGTGGTGTGGGAGAGGTGAAGGCTGCACAGGGAGTTTTGGGTATGGCCACAATTGTGATGGTAGTGTTAGCCATAAGGATCGATGATCTTAGAGGACTTTGCAAACCAGTCTGAGGATTAACCTTTCTCCCTGGCACTGGGGAGGTGTTAATGAGTTTTCAGTAATGAGTAGCTACAAAGAGAGCTGCTACTTGGACTATGAATATTCACGTTTTATGTAGAATGGGTTGGGGATAGGGGAAGCTTGAAGCAGGGAGGAGGTGGATGATAATGAGCTTGTCAACCAGAATGGTGATAACGACAAGGACAACGACAACAAAGAGGAATGGGTGGGGCTTGGGAGGTGGGTTAGCAGGCACTGTGGAAGTCAAGAGGACAGGTCTTTGGCTTCTGAGGGTTCCATAAAGAGGAGCATAATGGGGAGGCAGAGGGCAGGCAGCAGGTGGGAAGCCCCTCCACAGCTGTGCCTGAGGGCTGTCTGTCAGTCTGTGAACACTCGCCGGGGCCTAGCTGCTCAATGCCTGAGATACTGGGCCTGTTGTGCCCACTGTTGGCCTTGTGTGCATCCGCCTTAGAATCGCTGTGTAAACCCCCTCACAAGGCTCCGGGCCAGGACCCAAGCGGGGAGATTGCTGAGGGGAGTCTGTCGCTGCTGCACCTGGTAGTCTTCAGAGCTCGAGACTGTGTCACAGTTTCCATGAGGCACATGGTTTCTCATTCCGCCCCCCACAGGTTTATAACTTAGCAATGAAAATTTGCTCCCACTGGGAACTTGGCAGGAAGATTATGTTCTTAGCCTGACAGCAGTTACTGGTTCAAAAAATGCAAATATTAATCTAATTCATTTCAAGTTTTTCAGACCCTTTTTGTTCGCTTCTACCTTTAAGGCAGCTTGCGGAGCAGCAGTTGGAAATGTATCTCGTGAGAGATCTGCTCTGAGTGTGACTCAAGTCACTTGTAGACTTCTTTCCAGAATTGTAAAGCTTTGCTTAAATTTTAACTCGCCCCAAATGGTACCAGTGTCATTATTTTTTACACGGATTTTTTTTTTTGGTGTGTTGGCAAAAGACTTGAGAAATCTCATCTGGACCACTTCCTTCAGAGAAGTCCGTGATGACATTGTCTTGGCTTTAAAGGTGACAGAGAAGGAATCTAAAACCATGCCATTCTAAAAATGTGTCTCGTTGGTAAGAGACTGTAGGTTCTGAGTTCATTTTCTGGCTCCGGGACCCGGCCCCTGACTGGCCCTTCCTCCCTACTTCACTGTGTGAAGTACCAGGCCCCTCCTTGCTCTTCCCTGAGCTGTGTGGTCGCAGTGGGTGCTGGCTGGCACTTGGGACAGTTGATGTGTGGGTCATCCTACTGAAGGCCTTGCTTTTATCACCACTTACGCTGTGTATTAAATACTTATCTCACTGTACTTTCCATTCTACAGAAAAGGAGAGTGAGAGAGGTAAGATAACTGGCCCCAGAGAAGCTACTCTTAGTGACCTGAAGACTGTGTCAGCCCCCAGGCCTGGGCTTCTCTCGGTGCCCTATTCTGCACTTCACAGACTCAGAGTTTGTGGTCTGTAAATGTTCATGTCTGAATTTGCTGAGTATATTTTGGAAATAATGAACCAGCCTTTGTGTTATGTTTTTGCTTCAGATCTTAGAGAGTGTTTTGGACCCTGTGTCCAAAGAGCTGAGTAATGGTAGTCATTTAGCCTTGATGTAATAATCTGAGGTCCTTGCTGTAGTCCTTGGTGTTCTGGATTTGTGGGATAGAGGTTGAGGAAAGAACCAGGTTCTAATTGACTTGACTGTGCTGGAGGGTCCATGTCCAAGATGTTGAATGGTTATACTGGGATTATGGGAAGATTCTCAGTTCTTTACCTTGTAGTTCCCTCCACAGGGGATGTTGAGTAGCCTCACAGCATGGCAGCTGATTTTTTCCCCCAGAATAAATATTCAGGAGGAAGTGAATTGGACGCAACGATGCCTTTAATGGCTAGCTTCAAAAATCACATGTCGTTACCTTCATAATATTTACTTGTCATACAAATTAACGCCTATGCATCATGGGGGAAGACTATCAAGTGTGAGAGCACTAGAGGCGAGGCTCATGGGGCCATCCAGAGGGAAAACACTGGGTAGCTCCATGTGATGGGAAGAAGAAAGAAATGTGTAAAGGAGAGTGATAATGCTAGGAAAAGAAGAGAAGGATAGAAGAATATGGAGCCTAAAGCAGGTCACTTCACTTTGGCCTCCTTAGCTGCTGACCACAGTTCCACAGAGGAAGAGGCAAGGGGGCAAGAGGGTAGGAAATATTAAACCAGCCAGACTGCTGCAGCATTGAAATGTTAATTGCATCTTTTCCCACTGATGTCGGAGTTGAGAGCCAAAAGGAAACACACAGACACGAGCATATCAGCCTCATTACTCACAGTGGTGGACTCCATCCATGCCGAGGCTCCCCTCCGTGTCTGGACCTTGGAACCTCCCAGCAGACAATTTGGCTCTATAAAGCACAAAAACTTCCTCAGAACTGCTGCCTCATTCTGGTCACACCCGCAAAGAAGGGATACAGAGAGACTGACTTCCTTATTTTTCGCCAGAGTAAATATTCAGGAGAAAGGCCTTGAAGAAAGGCCTGATCTCTGACCCTTGCATGCTTACAGCATAGAGGCCAGGCAGGCAGCTCCTAGGGGCCTGATCCCACCTACTCGGTCCTCCTCCTGGGCTCACCAGTCAAGTAATTCCCCTCTTCTTAGAGTAAGGGGCAGAACAGAAATGGTTCCTTTCCTGGGAAGTGGAACAGCCCTTTCCTGTATATGGAGAAAATACAAATATGGGAAGGGGACATAAATGGTTCTCCCTGTACAAGGTCGTGCAAACAAACCCCTTGGGTCATTCAGAGGAGCCAGTAGTGGTTTGGTACACACATCCAATCTGTTATACCTAATGTCTACTACAGAGGGAACAGGTGTATCTTGCATTTTTATGAACCTTTCTAAACAAATTCATCCCACTTGCTCTTTTGTTGATGTTGAGGGCTCATGCAGACTAAGTACTACGCCATTTGTGTCACTGTTCAGAGTTGCCTTAACCAAGGTCTCTCTCTTTTATAGGCACAGGGTTGTGGTTTCCTATCCTCCTCAGAGTGAGGCAGAACTTGAACTGAAAGAAGGAGATATTGTGTTTGTTCATAAAAAACGAGAAGACGGCTGGTTCAAAGGCACATTGCAACGTAACGGGAAAACTGGCCTCTTCCCAGGAAGCTTTGTGGAGAACATCTGAAAAGAATATCACTGAGAAGGCTTCAAATCATGTCACACGACGAAATAGCACAAAGTGATGTCATGGCAAGAGCCCATCTGTGGACTTGCAGGCGGTCAGGAGCTGACCGAGGGTGCCATGTGGCTCCGGAGCACCTAGCACAGCTGTCCCAACGAGTAGAAGGCGGGGGGATCTGTGTGGCTTTTGTCGCCCTGGATTCCATGTGTAAGGTGTGCCTTGTACTGTCTGATATACTACACAGAAAAATCTTTTTTTTTTTAAAGATGTATAACTAAAATGGACAATTGTTTACAAGGGTTAACTAATTTATTTGCTTTTTTAAACTTGAACTTTTCTTGTAATAGATAAATGCTTTGGATTATGATTTAAGAAATTATTAATTTATGAATGATTGCTAAGGAGAGGCTGGATTATCTCCTATTGAGAACGAGATTCTTTTTGACATAGAATGCGTCTTCCCTACCCTACCCCCTATTCCCCACTGTTCTAATTTGCTTTTTGACGATAGAAATGCCAGTTCCTAATTTGGGTTTCCTGTGCAGGAAGCAGACGTACAACCTTATCTGTAGGGCCTGGTGTAGGGAGGCAGAAACTTGAGAGAAGAAAGGTTAGTGATTTCCAGGTTAGTTTGACCAGGAATCGACCTGAAGACCTAGCCCTCAGCTTACTTTGTGGATATTTTTTTCTTTTAATTTTCCTACACTGAAATTTGTGAAGTGAAAAGGAAATACAAAGCACAACCATGGACTAAAAAATGTATTCAGAAATGTTTAATTTTATACCAGAAGCAGCCCAGTGCATTGGTTGGAAAGTAGGTGAAACTGAAGTTGTACTCCCTGTCTGAGAATGGCTGCAAAATGTAATTTGCATTTTACCCCAAGTGGTGTGCATGCCCGGGACACAATAAAACATTTGTGAGATAGTGGTGGTAAATGATGCCCTCGTGTTCAAGTCAAAGGCTGTAAGAAACACTGTGAAGAGTTTACATTCATCCGTTGTGATTCCTTCTCCACCCTCTTGCATGCCTTCCCGGATTCCCACAGTAATAGAGACCGTGCATGGTGTGTGTATTTCATTGCAATTTCCTGTTGAGGTTACTTTGCGCTCAGAATTGACCACAGCAGGAGGTGTGGAATAAGCAGCGTTCTCTTCTCTACCCCAAAGCCGCTGCTGACCCAGGTCTGGAATGCACTCGCTCCCTCTCAGGCTGAGGCATCCCTTGGCCGGCACACAGGTCATTAGTGAAAATACTCTTTTATGTCCTCCCAGTGGACAGACTGTAAAGCATGAGTTTATCCAGGGGGCCGCTCCTGTGACTGTGCTTTTGAAGCTTTGCTAGGCTTGGTGGGAGTGAATGTGCCCACACCTTACAATTGTGGCGGGATCCAGCTGAGCCTTCTTTTTATATCCATTCTTTGATGTCATTGGCCTCGTCCACCAGCTTCCTTACGGTGCCACGCAGTCATGGGTCTGGGTAGTCCTGCAAACAAAGGGAGGGAAGACAGCCTGGTAGTGAATGAGATCATTACCACCGTTTTCTCATAGGGAAATAAGTAAAGAAATAAACAAACATCTTCTTTTCTTCTCTGTTTTTCCTCTTACGAGCTAAAGCTGGGAAATAGAAACATGAACCGAAAAGTCTTCTTGTGATAGCAAGAAGTTTCATCATCTTGAAAATATATGTAATGTGGTTGGAAATAAAATCATTCCTAAGTTAACCTTTTTTTTTTTTATAAAACACTGTACATTATGTTCTTGTGTGTTGAATTTTTAAAAAATACTTTACTGGGATATTCATGTAATATATAATGGGTTGGTGAAATGAACTTTAGTTAGGAAAAAAGCTGATAGCAGCTTTCATCTGTGTAAGTTGACACCAATGTGTCATAATATTCTTTATTTTGGGAAATTAGTGTATTTTATAAAAAATTTTAAAAGTAAAAAGACTACTACAGGCTAAGATAATTTTTTACTTGTCTTTCTCCATATTTTAAGCTATGTGATTGAAGTACCTCTGTTTATAGTTTCCTGGTATAAAGTTGGTTAAAATTTCATCTAATAGATCATTAGGTAATATAATGTATGGGTTTTCTATTGGTTTTTTGGAGACAGTAGATGGATTTTGTAACAAGGGCTTGTTACACGGTGATATGGTAATGATAAAATTATAATTTATCATTCCCTTTCATGTTAATAATATGAGGACTGGATAAAGGTTTCACAATTAAAATTTGATGTTCAACCTTTGTGCGACCCTTGAGTCAGTCCTTCAAATTTTTGCTTTTTTTTTTTTAACTTGGGATGTTTGACTTAATTTCTGCTCCATAAAAATCCTTTGCATATACCCCAAGCAGATGATGTCTACAACAAAAGTCAGTTCAGTGGTTATGGTTCATTTTACCAGCTAGCAAACCTTACCAGTAAATTATGGGTGGCGATCGAAAGTGACCTCTCTCAGTTCTCATGTTTTTAGTCATGTCTAATGCTCATAAGATACAAAATATGTGTTAGTCAACCTTTGGTGTTATTGGCGAGGCTGTCAGTCAGTCAGTAGGAGGCTGTGTATTTGGGGAGTCAAAATTTAGACTCAGGTTTGTGCCCCCTGTGAGGGGTTTGGTACCCCTACCCTCTATATACTGTTTAAAGATCAAGTGCAAGAACTTTCTGACACAATTACCTAGATTTACAGTTCAGAAACATCAGGGATCTCGCTCAATACCAGTTTGCACTGTGCTGTGGTGATGCAGATGCCCAGCAGCTGGGTTGGAGGGATCTATAGTTGGCACTAGCCTTGGAACCACCATTTACCATTGCCATTACAGGATCAGACCACAAAGGGGACTCTTATTCTCCAAAGGTACGAGCATTATCCCAACTGCAAGCAGACAGCTGGCTACCAATGTTGTTGCTTACCCCTCGTGTACAAAATTTGTCTCCAAAAGACCTTTGACCTTGGAGTTGAATCTGTCAAGGTCTGAATCCTTGCAAAAGTGTTAAAAGGTGAAAGATGGTAGTGAGAAGGCCTTCCTGAATGGGACTCAGAACCACAAACCATACAAAAAGGAAACACTGATAAATTCAAATATTGAAAATTAAAGTACACAACAAAGCACCTGCTCCCCACCAGGTCCTGAGTTCTGTTTAAGAATTTGTTAGTGTCGAAGGAACAATCTCACCAGTGGGAGAGGGGCTTCAGACGTCAGAGCGTGGGATGGGGAATTTGTAAATATTTATGATGCAAGCCATAGAGTAAACTTCAGGACACATGCTAATGCAGTACCACAGGAGGGGTCTTGAGTCTGGTGGGTGAGCACTTGCCTAGCCTGTGTGAGGCCATGGGGTGCAAGTCCTAGCACAGCACAAAGGAATAAAGGGCGCACCCGAGGCCAGGACAGACCTGAGTGCTTCCTGTCTTCATCTCCAGACAGATTTTCAAAGTGATTATTTTTATTTTTTTGGGCTGACTCAGCCAACCCAGAGGGCAGGATTGGCATGGCATATGGTGCCAGAGATAGAACCTTGGTCCCCTGCACCTGCCCAAACTTGCCTAAGCAGGTGTTTTAGACCATTGAGCCATCTTGCTGTCCCCCTCCAGACAGATTTATGTGAGAATAAACTCAATGGAAGCAACTGTGCTCTGATCTCTGACTCACAGTCGAGCCAACTGGTAGCAAAATAAGCTGGCAGATCATCAGAAGCAAATTCAAGCACAGGGAAAGATGTTCTACCTCATTCCTGTAAATGCCCATGGACGACAGTGAAATAGCATTTTTTACCTATAAAATTGGGAAGTTTAAGAAATGTGAACTCTTGTGCTGGTAAAATGCAGGTCACTCAATATGAAAACTACACATGCTTTAACCCATCCTAGTCTTGAGAATTTATCTTCCAGATAGTTATTCATCAAGAATAGGATGACACTATCCTATTCGTTGCAGTAGTGTTTCTACCATCAAACCATTGGAAATGGTCTGTTGTCTGCCAGTGAGGAATTGGTTAAGTCCTTTTATTTTAGATGTCTGCGTGGCAATTGAACCTTGGACATGTGGCTCTTGTGGCTGAGGAAGTGAATTGTAATTGGATTTCCTTTTAATTAATTTAGATTAAAATCCAGATAGCCATGATGGCAATAACAACAATTGACAAGGCAGTTTTAGTGAATAAAACTCTCATTTTAAAAGATCGTTCTTCCAAAGAGGGAAAAACGAAAGCAAAAACATGACATTGCTAACTCCAGCTTCTCACAGGGAGGCATCAGTTTATATAGTGAGAGATCACAGAACTTGATGCATTAGAACCCTGCCGGATAGAATACATAACGCTTGACTTCGAGAAATTTTCTTTTCTCCCCACGCCTCTCCCATTCCCCGGGGAGGACCCCAGGGCCTCACTTACAGGGCAGACACTACTGAGCTGTATCCCAGCCCAGAAATCTTTTCCTTCACTGTGAAAGGTTTCTTCCTCTCCAGGGCCTCCAAAAAAATTAGGGGAAGAGATTAGATTCAAGGGAAGAAAAGGGGAGGGCCACAGCCAGCCCTTTGGGTTGGCTAAGTGGACCACTGGCTTCCCATCAAGAAGAGGTGCAAAATTCCCCAAATGTCCCATCAGCCCTCCCTGGTCTGTCCGTCTTGATTTTCGTGTTTGCTGTGATCTTGAGCCCCTGAGGCTCACTAGAACGAACATGTGACTCCCAAAGCTGTTGGGATGCCGATCAGATGGTCCGCCCACCGGGAACTTAAAGGACCGTCTGTCAGCAACCTGAGACAGGGACTGAGAGCCGGGAAAGTGGCCCTCTAGCCCTCTAATTAAGCCTGAAATGACATCTCTGGGATAAAGGCCATGCTTCTTATTCCCCGACCCCAGCCGCAAGGTCAGTTCAAGTGAAGGCCAGCACCTTATCTTTCCAATCACATCTAGTTCATTTCTTTTGCCAGGGAAAATTGAAAGCTAATGGAATTACCTTCTCTTGCTCGCTCTCCTTTTTTAGGTACTCAACAGTGCTACAAGACATAAAGCAAAAACGTCCTTTTGAGTAAAACCAATTTCCTTATAAATTATATCACAGAAGTGCATTCAGTGAACTCCCTCGAGGCAAAAACAGCAAAGACTGATACCTCGCTGCCAGCCCTTTTTTGAGTGTAAACCAATTCAAGCTTCCCCTGCGGTCTTCACTTCTGACTCTTTTTTTCCCCTCCCCTGCCAAGGTTTAGCAAGAAGCGATTCTCATTCTTGCTAGGGGTGTAGCTCAGGGGCACAAAACAAACTGATTCAGATTGAGAATTTGGGGTTGGGATTAACGGTGGCGGGGATTCTGTGAGTAAAAACCCTTGATGTTTTAGGGGATGAATAACGGTACCCCTAGTTTATGGGTCTCTGGGGCAAAACAACTGCTGGCTTTAGGTGACTCCACATTCTCAGACAAACTTGGTTGCTGAAAGCCTCTCTATACAAGAAATAGAGATGGGCACAGACAATGAATTTAGAGACGTGGCGCTTAAAACTGGCTCGTGTAACAGGAAACTCGAAGGTAGACTATTATAGAGACCCACAAGGGGATCACAGGGAAGGAAGAGGAGGGAAGTGATGAAGGTAATCGAGACGTGTTGCTTGATGAACCATAGTGCCAGAACAAGCCTCATCTTTCTGCGTCACTGGCACCGTACAACAACACCTGGGTGCACAAACACTTCTGCTTGCAATCAGTTCAGTTTGCAAACA